AGTAATAGTCATAGTCATAGTCATAGCCATAGTCGTAGTCATACGAATAGTAATGGTACTAGTAGTAGTCATGTAACCGCAATAGCAAAAGTAATAGTAATAGTAATAGTAGTAGTAATTGTAAGAGTAATAGGTATAGTTAGTCATAGTCATAGTAATAGTACAAGTATTAATAAGAATAATAGTAATAGTAACCATAATAGTAAGTAGCAGCCACAGTAACAGCAGCAGTGATGGTAATAGTACTCTGAATACCTGTTCGGCTGCGCCTGCCCGAAGCAGCGAATCTCAGCAGGTCCAGCCTCATGTGAAACAGAAAGAGAGACCAGTACTCCAGAGGAACGCCGAAAAATGCCTGGACCTACAGCTTTTTTCCAGACTCCAGCAGTTTCTGGTGGAAAACTAGAGTCACTAGAGAGGCGCAGCCAAATCATGGCGCAGTCAAGCAGAGCTCAGGAGCATTCGAATGCACATTTTCGTGGGGATGATCTCCTGTCATGAACAACGCTGCTCAAACTTGTCAGCAGCGATCCTGGCCTGTGATTCGCAGATGAACAACACCAGTGCTCGAGCAACGCCGCTTTCCACTTCGAGAGAAGCAGAAATCAGCATTCCTCGCACCATCAAGCAACATGAGATACAGATTTTGTAGTTAAAAGTATGCTATGTAATACATGACATACATACATATGTTACATATATATATATATATTGTCTTGCATTTCATATATTCATATACATATACATATACATATACATATACATATACATATACATATACATATACATATACATATACATATACGTATACGTATACATACACATATATATATATGTGTGTGTGTGGGTGCATGTACGCATGCATGGATGGATGGTGGATGTATGTATTTATGTATGTATGTATGTATGAATGTATGTATGTATGTAGGTGCCGGCCCTCTTGCGGCGGCGCCCAACAGTTGTGTTCCATCGGCTCGGTTTGCATTTCAACAGTGCTAAGCCGCTAAGCCCTCAAGCCCAACCCCTCTTTGCTCAGAGTAGTGATTTAGTCTTTTAACTCGAGCCCAAGGCAGGCCGAACCCATCATGCTCCTCCGACACCCCCCCCCCCCCCCCCAGCGCCCACTGGATCCTTGCCTCTTCGTGTGCAGTCGACCCCTGCCTCTCGGCCCCCTGACCCCACAGACGCCACAGTGCGCACTGGACGCGTTCCTCATCCTCACAGCGCACACGGGACCCTTTCAGCGCTCCGAGTATCCTCACGGGTCAAGGCAGGCCCAATCCCCCACGCCCCCGCGACCCAACTCGTTCCTCATCTGCAGCGCTGCCTCGCAGTAGTTAGTCGAGCCCAACGCAAGCCCAACCCCCCCATGCCCCCCCGACCAGACAGACCTCACAGCATCCACTGCACCCGTGCTTCATCTTCAGCGCCCACGGGACGCCTGCCTCTCAGTGCTCAGAGCAGTGATTCAATCACTTATTTCGAGCCCAAGGCGGGAGCCTCCAGTGCCCATACAAATGGTCAGCGGCGCTCTGGGTTTGGGTTTTGGCGGATTTTGGGTCGCCCTGCCCTGCCCTGCCCTGCCCCTCCCCGCTGTGCCTACCTTCTGCCCTCTCCGGCCCTCTGTCTGTTTTCTGCCCTCTGCGAAGCTCAAGTTTATATCGTTTTGTCCGGGCTGCTACCTGTGCTGCCCGCCGGTGGGCCCAGCCCCTAAAATCAGGCAGCCTCAGTCCCCGAGCGCATGCGTCCTGTGGGTTCGGGGGGGAGGGGGCGTGGCCTTGCTCCAGGCTTCTACCTGCGGGCGCAGCCCCTGTCATTATAGATCAAGCCTTGGACGTCTCTTGTCTTCACTGTTTCAGCTTGTCCGAGGCACCGAGGATTGGAATCAGATGTGCGCAGGCCCACTGCAACCTTTGTGTGTCCAGGCACGTCATGGCAAGACGGGTCTTGCGAAACTGGGGTCCGCGGCTGTGCAGCTTTCAGCAGACTCACGCTTGTGAACTCTGCCTGCGGAGGCCAGCCACAGAGTCTCGACATGCTTCAATCCGGGTGCGGGCGTGCCTGGTACCAAACGAAGAGATGCATTCCAGCAAAAACGACCTCAGACTCGAATGCGCAAAATTGCGAGAAAGTCGGTGCTTTCGGAGATGACGCCGCTGCCCTTGCTATTGAGCTGAGTAGCGGTGGCGGCGCCAAGCACAGCCCATTTCATCATCGCGAAGTAGAGAACGAAACCTCATGGCAATCGCGTGTCTTCTGATAATGTCGCACAGGAGAGTTCAAAGCAGAGTTCGGCCCCCCGCCAAGGGCAGAACCCAGGTGCATACCAAAGAGAAGGACCTCAACACATCGGATCATCTGAGCAGACAGCTAACACGGTCACTAGTCTGACCTAGCTTGCGGAATGCATGCTTGCGTAGCGGCACCATCAGGAAATGGTGATGAGAATAAAGGGATGAGCGGATGCTCCATGCAGCTGCCATGTTCAAAGGTGGCAGCGCACCTGAGTGCACATAAAGCTGAAAGTTGCTCTTCATGGGCAGCCCTCTCCTTGCATCTGAGCACAGGCAGCTGCAAGTGCCGCCGTGTGAAAGCCTCGTCTCCGGCACAAGTGTCCATCGCCCTTCTTTCGCAGGCGCACCCCTGCCCTGTCTAAGGTTCCCTGCCGACTGGCCGGTCGTGTGCTGGCACCAGTAGACCCAAGCCCAGCCTTCCATCAAGAGTAATTCAGTGGCTTGTGACGGCGTGCGGCGTGCACAGTGCATAACACAAAAATGCACAAAAGGGAAGACAACAGCAAAAACCGCGATGTTCCAGGCAGACCCCTGCCTGTCAAACCGCACTGCCATTGCGGCAGGAATGCCACAAGCGGCCATGGGAGCTGCAATCCTGCGAAATCTGCGAATCTCAAGCCCTGTGAACGCAACTCTCGTCACGTCACCACTGGTGCTGTGGGTCCTGAAAAGCAGCGTTCCAGTCCGGGAGTATGCAGCCAAACAACCTAAATCTCGCCTGCAGGACAAAGGAATTGGATCTCTAGTCCGGTGTGGAAAACCGGCTGGAATTGTATGGTGTGTCTAAGAGGTAATCCTTGCACGATGACATAACATGTACGGAGGAAACGCCGGAACCAGCTCAGACTGGAACTGATAGAAGCTGCTAGAAAAAGGGTGAGCTTTGCAGCGACTGAGCCAGCTGCTGAAATGGGCTGTGCAAAGAGCGGAGTGGAAATGCTGCTGCTATCCCGTACAGCAACCAAAGGTATCCCAAAGATGATGCCAGGATAAGCCTGGCGGAGAGCTGATCGAGCAGCTCTTCCCAGGTGGGACCAGACACGTCCACCTTCCGCTTCTTCCCGGGGATGGGCGGTTCTGTCTCGTAAACGATGAGAGCAGCCAGAAGGGCCGAACGCATGCCCACGACCAACAACACGCAAGTGATTCCAAAAAGTGTGCGGATCACGCTTGCTGGCCAGAGCCAGTTATCGCTGCACCGCACCTGACTCTGGGGGAAATGCTCTTGCAAGCGACGTTCAACTTGCTTGAGAGCCACCTCCGTTGGGATGCTGTCACCCAACGCCCACAAGAGTCTGTGGCACACTTGCTCTGGTGCCAGCGTCAGCAGCACACGGCTCTTTGGACCAGATAGTTCGTCCTTGACGACCAGCTCTTCATTCAGCCTCCTTTCCAGTCCCTTCCTGGTGAGTTGAAGCTCTGGCCAGTGCTGCAGGATCAATGCCTTGTGTTGCATGAGAAGGTCCAGCAGCACTTCTTTCCACTCTCGGGCAACTTCCCATGCAGAAGGTTGGGCAAGACGAACAGTGCCGGGAGCCCTCTGCTCTCCAGAGAAGCGTCCGGCAAAGCGTCCTCGGCACGGCATGACCTGAAGGACTACGCGCGCACTTTTCGCAGGACAGAGACAGAGCACGACAAAACCCCGCGAAAGCTATGACGGAACTCCGTTCCAGGCCGAGGCGCTTCGACGAAGTATTGCACGAAGAGGTGCTCGAAATCCAGAATCGATGCCCTGGTTTTCGCACCCTCCTGTCTGAGATTGTCTTCAAGGATCTGCGGACTGGAGGGCAGGGAGGCGGCCAGCGAGGCTAAGCTGCCCAGCTTCTTGCCGGATGCTAAGCGGTTCAGGTGATGGCTGCTCCGCCTGAAGATGAAAGGTAGTCCCAGGTCTTGCATCGTAGAGGATGGCACAGAGCTTGATTGGCTTCCTCCACTAAGTCACTAAGTCACTAGGTGCACCTGACACCCTTTCAAAAAAGCCAAGAACGCAAAAATAACAAGACTGGCATCCAAGAGCCTCCATCCAATGAGTCCAGCTTCAGCCCACTTTGAGAGAGCTTTGCTCCAAGGCCTCTGTTGGAGACGGCCGTCAGGGCCGTGGCACGACTATCCAGATCCAGACTCCTTCGACGGACCAGCCTCACTTGGCTGAATCGACTCCGACCGGAGAATCACTCGCGGGCGTTTTTGTTCTGTTCTAACTCGCCAAAGACTGTGCCAAGCGGCATACACTAGCTTAAACAGCTTAGGCTGTCACAAAACAACTGCCGCGGTGCTTCTTGGGTTTGGCTTTCATCTCGTTCATGTCGCACCCCGTGGTAGCAGTTCGCCTCGACCCCCCAGAAACCAGAGGAACATCCACCTCTAGGCCCTAGACTTAAGTCCTGCCATGGGCCCCCCTTCAGACCCAGGATCCCAACCTCCAGAGTCGCTTCGTCCGCGACTCCTCTGGGGGCTCTGGGGTCTCCTCCTGCTCCAGATCTTCCGGAACGGGAGACAGGGAGGCATCGTAGATCCCGAACTTGGAGCCCACCCTCACAGGGAGACGCTTGCGGGTCTGCCTGGCTTCTGCTAGGACAAAAATCCAGGTCGTGCTTGGTACAGGCACACCTGAACGAGAATTGAAACCAAGCAAAACACTTTGATGCGAGATGATGCGAGCGCCGCGGTATCTGTGCAGCCTTGATTTTGCCCACTATGACCTACAACCGGAACGACCTGATGATTCCCTCTTCATTTTTGGTTTGAAGTCCTCACATTCAAGATCTACGCAACTACCACACATGTCCACAACCGCCCCTGAACACGGCAGTGCCCTGGAGTGTATTCACAAGGCTGACAAGCTTCTGAATGCTTCCCGTGCACCCCACCTGTGGATCGCACTGCCCACGGCCTTGACCACCTGCGCAGATGTCCTGGTTTCCAGAACAGGCGGCCGGTCACAGACCAGCTGCAAATCGAAGTGTGCGGCGCTTTCTTCGTCGGAATACGAGTCATCATCCTCGTCAGCGCGCGACAGCGGCCGGACTTGCAAAGACTTGGATAGACCAGGAGGCATCGCTTGCCATGGCGTGTCACCTCCCTGTGGGCAACATGGGTATAACTGCCAGGCCTGTGATTCATCGGATCAGATTACACAACACTGCCGCAACACCGAAGATAGCATAAGTATGCTTGAGGGCTGTTACAGATGATGGAGGCTTCGGCATCTCGTCGTTGTCCACTTGTCCGTATATTCTTAAGGCTTGAAACTAGCCATGTCATGCTCGGCGGTCTGGCATCTCTCTATGAAACCACAAGTTCGTGAAGGCTCTGCCGTATCGTTCCGAGCAGGTGCAGAATCGAACTACAAGCTCGACAGACTGCATATAGTCCATCAGATCTACCGCCGGCGACAAGATGGCCACTCGTCGTCCGCAACTCATAGTTTGTGCAAAGTCTATGTCTCATCTCTTGGCTCTGGCTCAGCTCGAGGCTGGAGGCCAACGAGAGGGGGAAGAATGGCCTCCACCTAAGCATTCTCGAGCCTTAAACACTTTCGCTGCTAACGCAGGGAATGACCCACATCTGGAGAACTCACAGAAGCGCCTGGTCTGAACTGCGGCATGCTTCTAGCCAAGGGCTTGTACCATCGTTGATGACCAAGGCTGCTGGGAAAGCCGAGCACCTGACCGCTTCTTTGCGAGCCCCGAGGGATTTCTCGAGGCCCGGCGAGGAGTTGACCTGCAACATGAAGTGGATATCTGGGTGGAGCCCACCGAGAAGAAACATGCACCGTCTGTCGGCACGGCCTCGATCAGCCACAGGTTCAAGTCAGCGTCCAGCATCATATCAATGCCTGGATACAGAATCTACGCATTTTCATGCAACAAGCTTGGACCAGATCAGCCCGGTGCCGTAGAGCTCATAGTTAGTGGTTTCGAGATCAGCCAGTGCGACATCAAAGTACATCACCTCAGCACTGATGAATTCCGGACAGATGTGAAGGGTTGTTGATGGATAGTATTCACCAGGAACGGATAGCCCATTGAATATACTTCATACTGAATCATAACTATAACTGCTCACACTTGATCGAAAATCCATAACTAATCTTTCAGCTTTTTGGGATCATCAAGACTCCGACCTCCATGAGCAGAGCCAACTTGGATTTCATGGCCGGCAGCAGCCTTGCCTGAACCAGCTCTGCTTGGCTTGGACGTTCGGGGATTGGGAGCGTTCTGTTGAAAGCTTTTATACTTTACACCTTCTGCTTGAAACCCTGCTCGAGAGCATAGCGCCTCCTTCTAGCGCAGTCACTGCACAAAGTAAAGATACCGCATGCTACTAGTAGAACTGTCACAAGCGTCGACAACAACGACAAAGATGCCGGAGACCACATCTCCGCGGCATGCACTTGGACTACGGCTTGCTCGAGCTGTTTGAGTTGAGGGCGCCCTGCATCTTCTCAGCAGGTTGCAGTGCATTGAAACCGGGCAAGCAGAGACAACACAGAAACGAGCGTTGTCAGCTAGATTCAGAGTCAAGAAAGGGGGAACGACAGCCCTCAGGACTCGACCGGAACAGCTACACGCTACTACACCTTCAGGCACAAAACCGACAAGAAAGATGCTCGATTCCGCGAGATGCAAGGCAGGGCCTTGACAAAATCCGCTGGCAGACCCTGCAAGGTCAGCTGCTGCTGAAGCTTCTCAGGGCCGAGTACCAGCTCCGAGTAGTTCCTGGGTCTTTGCAAAGCCGCTTGGTGTAGAGCTACCAAGCCACCATGCCTCAATCAACTTCTGCCAAGCCACGCTCCCTCTCGCAACTTGCCGTGAACCTCCACCGAGCTGAAGACTTTAGGTACTCTGCACTTTCGATCATGGAAGGCTGCCTTCGTGTTCGTTACGACCATCTCAGGGTCAGTCGAGTTGATGTTGAAGATCTGATGTCCACATCTTAGGTACCACACCTTGCTGCGACAGACACCAAAATCAAAGGGAAATGACCACAGGGACATCTCCAGCCCTTGTGCAGCCACGGTGCAGGCGAGTACAAGGCTATGAACGGCATGGTGGTCGGGACGTACAGATACACGCGGAAATCGCATTTGTGGCCGGCCACCTCAGCGTGAAAGAGCCCTCCTACGAGGACTCTGCATCTCTCCCGTCGGCGCTTGGTGCCTTTCCCTTCGTGTTGAATGACCGGGAGCTCGCACACAACTGCTGCAGTGAGCCACGACATAGTTTCAGATACTGCAAGCATGCGGGTGTAGACCATGCATGCATTCACGAGGCAATGGGTGCAGTGGCTTTGCGGAACTGGCTTGTAGTTTGTAGCAGCTTGGGCTAATGTCAACATCACTTTGAGAATTCTCCGTGTAATTGCAAAATCCATTTGCCAGAATGCAGATAGAAACCACCCCGTCTTTGCAGACTCCAAGCGGAAAACGTGTGAACCGAGTCTTGCTAAGATGAAAGCTCAGATGAGATGAAAGAAGACCCTGCTGGCCCAAACAAACCCAGACTCGAACTCTAGTTGGCTTCAGTGTGTGGTCACGCTAGAAGGCTTCTGGGGCCTGCAGTGTGGGCAGGCTTGAAGGTTTGTTCTCTCCGAACGCTTCTGTTCACCGCTCCTGCTTTGTCTGATTCTTCCTGGCCTGTAGCAACTCTTCTTCCAGCCACTTGTTCTCTCATTTTGATGCTGCTTCTCTGTTTGCACTATCATCATCTGTTTGAGGAGCTCCGTCTACAAAGTCGAAAAAGCTTGCTTAGAGCTTCTTGCAGAAAAGCCCGCTTGGAGCAGAGCTTCCCAGAAGGCTACTACCCGCCCATCTCGAGCCCGGCACCAGCAATGGATTCGGCAGGTATCTCTGCACCAGGCCCTCAGCTCCAAGGCTCAATTATTATTATTGTTATTATTATTATTGTTGTTATAATGATGATTATGTTGGTAATATTATTCCCCAAAAAACCAAGGCTCCCAAAAAAAGACGGAAAACCCGGGAAGACTCCGAGCGGCGTGGGGAGGCCGCCTCGTGCCACAATTTGCTGCCATTCTTTCAGCTTCCTCGGGTCCAAAGCTTGAACGGCTTTCTGCGTCAGGCCTAGGCCAACGGAAGGCCTGCGCCGTGAGGAGGCGCACCCCGTTGGAGTTGTGAGTGCGATCCTGCTTGTGGATCCACATAGCAGATCCCACCTGGCAATGGCTTCGACACACAAAGCTGGTGCAAGCTTTGGGAGCGATCCGTGCCTTGTTCTTGAAGTCGTGACAATCTTCCCGCAACGACAAAACGAAGCTGGAAGGCAGCAGCAGCTCGATCTCTGCAGCGCGCTGCGGCATAGCTCGAGCGAAGTTCCTGAGTTTGGAAGCCAGCACATAGCTGAAGGAATCGACAGAGGTCCATGACGCGTGCTTCATCACACTGGCCAAGGAGGATTTCACCTGAGAGCACCGTCACTCGACTCACTTCGTGGCGAAAGCTGCAGCTTGGGAGCCGTGAAGGAGTCGCTGAAGTGCAAGTGATTAAACACCTTTCGACTCTCATGGCTTCAGGCAGAACTGTCGAGTGCTGAAACACTCCGAGGAAAGAGTGCTACAGGCTACAAGCAGACATTGTGATTACAGGATTTACATGGCCTGGTGGCGCGGGTGGTTGCTGCACAAGCTGGAGAGGTGCGTCCGTTTCCTGCCAAACTCATCAGAAACGGCAGACAGCAAGTCCTGTCTGAATTCCGAAAAGGAAGCCGAGGCCATGCAGCGCGCAGATATTGCAGCGGAGGCTCTGCTGCTTGGAGACAATGAACGTGGCATTCAAGGATTCCCATGTTGAGACCTGTGTCACGTCGCATGGCCGTGAGCAGCACCCACCTAGCTCTTATGGCATTATTCAAGCAAGGACCTTTAGAAGACTGAGTTGCCAACACCTTGCCGATACCACTCATCCTTGTACACCTTCACCGCACACGACGCACGGGGTCTTCGACGTCACGAGTCAGGCCGGATGCCTTCTCAAGCAAGAAAAGACCTTTGTCTTCTTTGGGCAGGTCCTTCTTGCGCCAGTAAAGGCTCCTGTGGACAAGTCAGATCGTCGGATTCACACGAGCAAGTGCAGTCCGGGCTCCTTTTGCCAAGAAGCGGGAATGACACCGTCACCTTTTAACTCGCTGACCAGTGCAAGGCAGCAACCAGCATACCCTTCTGTTGCCCTCATGCAGCTGATCTCAAGCGACTCATGCGTCCCCTATGCCCCGGTATGGACGAGATGCATCCTTCGTGCTCAACTGCTCGGCAGCCGTAGGGCGATGCTCACAGTGCGGCATTCCCGAAGGCGTCTGAATCGCAGTTTCAATCGCCCCTCCGACTGGCCTTGGCGCAGAATACAGAGAAAAACAGCAGCAGCATACTGCCATTCGGGCATCTCCACCTAAACAAACTTGACCAGCGGCATGGTCGTGATGGGGGCATACAGCGGGTGTGCCGTCTCCACAGGCGCGAGGAAGAGCGTCCTGCAAAAAAAGCAACAGTGACAAGCTTTTCCCGTGTCTGCGATAACATGCGATAACGTCTCCACGGAACACAGGGCTGAAAGACTCAAAATCAGCGCTTGCTGCAGGATGCACAAGGTTACCCAATCAAGCAACAGGTCGGCTGCAGCACTTGCTGCATCCTCAAACTCACAAGTCAGCCCGTAAACGGATGCCAAGGAAGGACCGAGAATTGACCGGTCCAGAAGACGGTTAGCCACAGCATCATAGTGGCTGTCGCAACGATGACAATCCTCATCACATAGCTGCACGCCACTCAACGCTTTCGGAGAAACTCGACTAGCCATTGGTGCTTGCTTGGGCGTTAAAAACTGACTGATCTTATTGGAGATCGACAAAAGGGCTCAAGAATCACAACCACTGAAATCCCACCTGAGCAACTTCATCGCTCGGCTTTCGCAGGCGATCTCTGCATGGCTGTTCTTTGCACCCAGCAGAAGTTGTCCACTTGCCGATCCATGTCCTGACTAACTGACTTGTGTTGCTTTCGTTGCCTGTCCGCGGCAGGAAGATCGAAGTGAGGTGGGCCGAAACGGCTTCCCAGTCTCTGCATCCACAGCGACCACGAATCGGCAGCAAAGCAACAAGACGCTGCATGGCGTGTGAGCAAATTTGCCGGCTCTGCCATCCTCGAGGATAAGCTCAACAGGCATAGCCTGAGCGAACCCAAAAAATCCCAAAAAGCCAAGGACAGAGCGCTTGCATGAGGCATCGGACGAAGTGCTTGGGCTGCGGCACCAAAATCTAAAATAAAGATGGCATTGGTAAGCGGCTCTTGCCCCATGACCACGAAGAGATCCTGAACAGGTCTTACAAAGGCGTGCGCTCTGGCATGACACTGGCTGCCAATCCTCCAAGTCTTTCATCCAAGCTGAGATCATTGAGGTGCCAAGGCTTCTGAGGAAAGCGTCCCACAAAACCTCAGAGGTACGTAGGCCGGGGCCGAGCTTCGGCCAGCGCTTCATGATGCATCTGAGGCGGCGCGCAAAAACATGGCCCAGGCGAAAAAGCATCCCAAGCTGCTGCTGGCTTATGCCTCAACGCTGCGATTTCCGACACACTCGTAAGGATCCCTCTTCCACACAAACTAAGGCTCTCAAAGCAGAATACCAACCCTACCTACCTCTCTATGCTTCGGACGTCTCCTTTACCTACCCTACCTACCCCCCTCTAGGCTTCTTTGCTTCTTTATGCCTCTCTTATGCTTCTCTTATGACTCTTGTGCTCTTCTGAGCGGCGGAGGCCGGCGCACCCGGAAACGCTCAGCATCATGCCTCAGCACTATGTGTGGGTGCCTGTCTATCCCTGTCTTAGATGCTGGGGAAAAACCATCCGTGCGGTACCTTGCTGGATGAGAAAGTTAGGAGGGAAGCAATTGTCTGAGATTGAAGATCAGCGCACTGCGCTCGCCACCTTCCTTAATTCTGAGATCATGCTGATGCTCATGATTCGAGAGTTGTGTATGCCTGTCCTTGTTGTAGGAGCCGGCAATGTGTGCACATCAGCTGCAGGGCTTCACGACATTGGTTCAGCATCATGAACCATGCTCTTGTCCTTCACTCGCCACCGCGTGCGCCGGTTACGGCACGCATGTCTTGCGAAGTTCGGGTTCCATCTAGATGCAGAAGACAAGCTATCCAGTTTTGTCTGCATTGAACGGAGCCTGCAGCATTTCATCTTTGAACGTAGTCTAGATGGACAGCGAGGGCAGCTTCACTGCAAAGACTGTGCTGTTCGAGTTGCAGAGCTTTGCATCCTGCCTGCCACACGTCTGCTCCAAGGGCAAGCCTCGGGTTGAAACTAAACAAAAACATTAGTGAGCAGCAGCCTCTCACCCGCACCTCCTCTTTTGGATCCATGCGCTTGGATCCGCATTTCGTCGCACAGCACGACGAGTCCTTCAAGATTCGGGTCTCCTTTTAAAAAAGGAGCTCCCAAAAACAGCCTCCGAGCACCAAAAACCCCGCCAGAGCCCCTCCTCGCTCGTCGGCCCGGGCGGCCCGGGCGAGGACCTCACTCGGAGCTACGCGCACCCGGAAGTCCTGCAGAGAGCGCAGAAGCGACTCCGGGTGAGTCGGTTGTTTTTTTTGGAGGGTGTTCAGAGATGTTTAGTGGCTTTCTTTGGGGCTTAGGATGGTTTAGGCACGTTCAGACTTTCGCGCGACGGAGTGTTCGTTGGGGCTCCTTGAGAATCAAAGCTGCGTGCCAGCATTGGGCTGGGTCGAGAATCTGCTTGAGGGCCAGCGGCTCCAGGCAAGCAGATGTGGAGATTCCAAAGGTCCACGGAACTGACTCTGCGTCTGGCATCTCGCAGAGAATCTCCACGTTCCGTACTTCGACGTCAAAGCCTAAAAAATGTATGAGACTGTGGACATGCCAGATGACATGCAACCGACTGTCAACGGCCAGGGAGCTTGAAACTAATTTCAGCAAAAATGGCTGGCCAGCGTGTTCGGTGTTCGACCAGGGCTTCTTCCTTCTCTGCGTCTTCCAATTCGGCGCAGCAACAAGCTTCTGGACAAGAACAGCTCAAGTCGCCACCAAGCGTCGCATCTGCTTGGCAGATGGCCTCGACTTCCCTGTCCTTGGTCTGCGACGGAGGACAGCTCAAGGTGAGGCAAAGACCAAGGACGATCGCGGCACCAGAACTCCGCACAAGACTTCCAATTCACCAACCCGTCTCTGCAATAGACGGCAAGGCTCCCAATCTCGCAGCCGTACAGAAAGCACCAAGCGCTCAGCAGAGGCGTGCAAGTGAAGCCCACTTCGTAGGCTCAGCTCGACCTCGAGATGTCAACGAGAGCCGTGACCGTGCGCGGATGCCTTTCAATCCGCCGAGCCCACCGGCCCAGGCGTCTTGGCGGTTACCTCAAGTACCCGGTTTTGGCGTCCATTTTCCACCCCCCCGCCCGGCTTCGCCTGATTTTACGTCACTTGTCGGCCTTTGTCTTCTGGATCCCCTCACTTTTTGCTGTTTTTCTTGCTTTTTTTGAGGCTTGACCCCCACCCCCCCTACCCTCCTCCTACCCCCCTCTGCCCCCCTCTCCCCGCCCCACCCCCTTTCTTGGCCCTCCCCGCTCCCTGCCGCCCCTTTCTTCCTGCCCCCCCCCTCATCTTCCCTGCTCCCCTCCCCCTGCCCTGCCCTTTCCACTGCTTGGGACCATCTTGGTTCAGGTAACAAGCAGGTAACATTTAAAGAGGCCGTCAACGCTGCCGACGTGTCTCCCGTGCCCCCTGCCCCTCAGCAGCCGAGGCGGGCGGCGTAGCGTTAAAATTATTGATTCTGCGAGCATGCCCACGCCTCTTCGAGCCAGGCGCTCTGAATCTCCAGCGGAAGAAATATCCCCAAGTTTTCCAGCACTCTCTCCTCCAGGCAAACGATCATCGAGTAAAGCGTGGCATCATTCTCAACATTGACCGTCACTTCTCAACAGCTGAGGCAGGCTTGAGCCACCCGTCGCGTCCTGCAACTCCAGGCGTTGCAACGTGACGGAGATGCCCAGCACGGACAGGGCCAGTAGCTCATCGTACGGAAGGTCCTCGTGCAGTGATGCTTCGATCTCATAGCTCGAACGTTCTGCAGGTCTCCGTCCTTAACCACAAGCGGCGCATGCTGCTCGAGAAGACGGACCACGTGCTGCTTCAGCGCTGCATTCCCCATATTTTCCCATGCGGCTGCAGGTGCTACTTCACACTTGCCATCCGTATCTGCGTTTCTGCCGTCGGCGCGGTGCGTTTCTTTGGCTGCGGGTGAGAATTAAAGATGCTTGGATTGTATATGCCTGCCGGCATGGGATCGGTCAAGCTTGTGCTTCAGCCTCGCACTAAAGGTCGGCTGCACGAAGTCAAGGATATCTACTAGATTACTACATGCATGCATACAGACATGTACATATATACACCAAACAATCGGACTCCTGGAATCATTCATGAGCCATTCGATGCGAAGACTTGACAAAGGTTTCTGTCTTGAGACTGTGGCAGCGGAACTTGGCCATGCAAGACAACGACATCTCCGAAGGCTCTCTTGCTGCCACGCCAGCACTCGTCCCTTTGACTCATGTGAGCGAACCGAGGCTAAGAGAGAGCCTCAGTAGAATGGTCTCATGCTCGAGACCATCTGCTCGCTGCGAGTGGGTAGAAAAAAAAGCCTTATTCGGATGTACTGCTACATGTAGCTGCCTGCCCAGAGGTCACGAGCTGACGCTTCGAGAAGCGCTTCTCTAGTGTCACAAAACTGAGAGCTTGACAAGCTAACCCTTTGAAACCGGGTCAGTGTCGCTGGTAGTGCGACTTACGGAGGACGCTGGAATTTAGCGGTGCTGCAGTAGCTCATTGCCTCGCAGATATCTGCGGGCTGCAGCTTCTGCGTCTCACCTACACTTCACGCGTTGCGACAGGCTTGACAGGCCCTGGCCGGAGCGCCGGAGCGCGACTGGCCTTCTGGATGATCTCTAAGATGACAACAATGCAAGGCGAACGTTGTCGGCCCTCAGCGCAACCTGAGAAGCTAAATGCAGCAACATCCCATGGCGCAGGTGCTCGGAGCTCAGTACCGGACGCGATCCCCATCAGGTAATCTCACGATGACGCGGCCCTGCAGGGCTGACGAGCTGCACAGCTGAACCCTGCGACCATCCTCTGATACGACTGCGAACAAGCCAATCGTTCCTGCCCCACTAGACTCTGTGCAAAAACAGCCAGTTTCCCGGAATGTCTGACACAAAACTAGAACCGACTAAACGACATAGGCCCGCATAAAGCAACTTGGTAAACCGGGCCAACCAGCACAAGATTGCCTGGCATGCATGTAGTCATGCAGATTCCTGGTAGGGTATCCAGAAGTAGCGTGGGAGAACTCGACAGTCTAGCTTGGTCTCTCGAGGTGCGACGGTTCAGGCACGACTTTCGGACGCGTTTCACGACCATGCCGCCACATCGGACGATGCGCCTGCACGCATCAGTCACACTGTACACGTCTGCATCACACTGCAGCAGCATGTGGGACGGCATGGAACTGTGCATCTTTGGCCGCCGGCCCCTTGTTCAGCCGGCTTCTCTTCGGAGCGTTCTCACTCTTGGAGGGACGCGACTGTAATCAAAACAATAACAATCACAGGAGCAGCCGGTGTACACTTCGGGCACCAGCACATCCACAAAAGAGTTGAGGGCCGAAACCGTTTTCGACTTCTAGATTCTAAATTCCACTAGGTTCCGATGTGACACATGCTGCTCGCTCCTGACATCGCTTGTTGCAACGTCAAATGCTTGTCTTGCACCCTCGCAGTCGAGACGAGCTGCAACTTTGCCTGATCAAGTCCGGCACAGTTTAACAAACATGTGAATGCAGGACTATCGACGCCTCACCAAATGAGGAAGCTCGAAGCTGAAAATTTTTGCCTTGGCCCACTGCTTCATTGCATCAGGGAAGAGCTGCGGGCATCTGACATGACCCATCATGGCTGTCTTCGCATTGAATTCAGCGGCCGGATGGTGCGTCACAGCAAACAATCTGCGCCCTTGGCCTCATGGCAGCAGGACGGGGGCAAGCATGACCACAACAGCCACCATCGTTGACGCTGCTGAGGTTCCCGCTTGCGATACCCGTCCACTTGACGGTGCTAGTCGCCTACAGGACCAACGTCAAACGCGTCAATTTGGAAACGCTCGGACTTGCAATGCGTAGCGACTCCGGAATGCAAATTCGAACCCTTTTTTTCCTACGCTCAAGGCGCCTGTCGCGGCATCCGGCCAAGAGGTTTGCTCGCAGGAGCATGCCCAAAGGTGAAAGACAGCAAGCTAAATGGAATCAACAGACCGCCATGGTGGGTTTCACATCCACCAGCGTGTTGCTCCAGGTCTGTACAGAGCAACCTTTCGAGCGTTTCCTTCCCTAGCCCGTAGAGGCCAAGAGCCATCACGAGTCTGGTGAGCTGCGAATTCCCCAGACGTTTGGTCAAGCTGTCTGCGAGCATAAAGACCCGTGGCGGCCAGTAAATTTGTGGTTTTAGCACCTTTCTTATCTGAGCCCGCCGGTCAAGCCCTGCTGCACCACTTCGTCTCTGGTACAGGTCGTCGAGGGCACGAGCTTCCGTCACCATGATCGTCAGGGTCCTCCGGGTTCGGCTGCCGGACGGCCACCAGAGACTCATCATCTGGTCCATAGCGACTGGCATCCATCACATCAACCTCCGGGATGCAAACCTCAATATACATGCCATGCTACCATTCTAGCTCTCCATGATCGCGCGGTCCAAAAAGCTGATGATGTAGCCGTATGTAGCCGCCCTGGGACCTCTCATCGTCATTCGCAAGCAAGGCATCGGAGATGCTCATGAAGATCCCATCGTCTGCCGGAATCGGGAGGATGCGCAGAAACACATCTTTCGTCCGGTGCAGCTCATTGATCACGTTGTTCGCGGCCTTGATATGTCGAATCGTCGGGGGCCCCAAGACATCGACATCGCACATGCAGCACCAATGTCGGGGCGGCATTCTTTTCCGATCCGCAGCAAACTCCCAGCAGCTCCACGTAGTAGCCTCATTTCGTGCTCGGTGAAGGAGAGTCCTCACCATCCTTCAGCCGCTGCTTCGAAAGGATGTCGATGCGCACCTCAAAGTCGGCCATCTGACGGATGGTACGGCCTAAGTACGTACCCGTCGCACACGACCCTCCACTTCCCAATCCGGAAGCGGTTGCGAAGGGTTTCCATCAAACGTTGATGTCGACTGTTCCCTCCTGGGAGCGACACCAGCACAGCCTGTGTGGGCCCCGGACTTGTTCTCCGCCTCGTTGAACTGCAAGAAGCACATGCACGGATCGAAGATCGACTCAACGTAGTCCAGCTCGATCAGAAAACTCGGATGAGCGACCACTTCGGTCGTCCAGGTATGCTGCTGGTCAGCAACGAGGCATAAAGCTTGCCTTGAGGTCGAGTCTCGGGGTCGGATTGCCCGAACGCACTCGTGACGTTCATGATCACCAGCTTGTACCTCATGGTCGCGATAATCGGGAGAACCAGCATCACCGTCGGCATCGCTGGCGTTGGAACAAATCGCTCCATCATCAAGGCACGATCACAGTGCTCGGTTTTCTTGTCGGCCACCCAAGCTCCAAAGATCTTGGGCCGTTGGGGCGCTGAACAGGAAGCGCCGCCTCCGCTCACCTCATCCAAGCCGCGCTTGACTCGGCGGTCAAACAGCTTTGCCTCCTCGTGGAGAGTGGACTCCTTCTGGGGATTTTCAGCGTCAGACATGTCCACTCCGGGATCGGGATGCCCTTTGACCCGCTTGTACACAAGCACAGTCTTTGACGTCACTCGGCAAGGCCCGGTGCAACTGCTTGGGTGTTTCCTTGCCACTTATGGTCTCCCTTTTTGCCACTTAAGATCTCCCTTTGATCACCTCGCCGGTCTCATTGTTGATGGTCACATGCTGCACCACATCAGACCACATTGGACAGCGACAGTTCGGCTCACACAGCCCGGATCGGGCTCACACAGCACACTTGTAAGATCTCCCTGCTCGAAAGTCCTTCTGGAATGCCTTCCCGATACCGAGAATCGGCTAATCGAGGAACACCAAGTCCCTGAGCACGCACGGGCGTCCCCATGCCGAGATCGCGCGGTCCGGGGGCACTGGTCGTCACCAGCGCTCCGCTACCATGCAATGCGTAACGACTCCGAATGCTCAAGGCGCCTGTCGCGGCAGCGGTCCGGCCAAGAGGTTTGCTCGCAGGAACATGCTCAAAGGTGAAAGGCAGCAAGCTAAATGGAATCAACAGACCTGGGCATATGGTCATGGGTTTCACAGGAGCACACGAAACACCTGCAGCTTGTTGATGCTAGGATATGCTAGGCTTGCCTGCGAGTCCTTGTAAATGTCGGCATCTGCTCGTGGGAGCCTTGTGCATCGTTCAACTGATTCGCGACGACTGATTCCACTGTGCATTTCGTTGGCCAAAGAGCCTGTGTCGTTGAAGAACCGCTCCTGCTGCGAGCAACCCCAAAACGGCTGAGAGCGGACTTCAGCGACTTCAGCTCCCGCACTCTCCGTGCCCTCTGACACCTGGATTCTCTGCAAGGTCCAAGACTATCAACTCTCCGGAGCGAAGAAGAGCATAAAGTAGTTTCTTCGCCTTCAGCATTGCACCGAATTGACAAGCGACGTGATTCTTCAATGTCAACACTCGAGTTTCCGCCTCATCGACTTGTAGTGCCGACACCGCCTTCAAAACAACGGCAGCTGAGGGAGTAGACGTCAGGATAAGTCAGCATTGCTAGGGTCGCTGTATCGTCCCAGTTTCCTTGCGGCTGTCGTCACAGATTATATAGGGTTGCAAATGTTGTCGCAGTAGCTGTTGGACAACGAGGCTCGGGTTGGGCGCGGGAGAGCTTCTGCGGTTATGGCTGTCGTACTTGTTATGTCCTTGGGCGCTATGCTGCCATTGTTGCGGTTGTTGAGGCTGTTGAGGTTGTTGCTGCTGCTGCTGCTGCTGCTGCTGCTGCTGTTGACGCTTCCGCTCCTCTCCTCCTCCTCCTCCCCCTCCTCCTCCTCATGTTTATCTTCAGCATGAAAACGGGGCTATGAAAGCTGGGTCAGGGAACTCTCTGGAAGATGCAGCAGCAAAGCTGAATCGTTCTTATTTCTGTCGAACTGCAGGGGTGCTTGCTTGCAAACGGCAGCTGCATCATTGGACGCTGTGCTGATACGTCCCTATTTGTATGGTTTGACTTGCACAAGCTGTTATGTAAGTGGTGGACAGTAACAGGGTGCAGTGCATCGGCACGGGGCCTGCCTCATCTAGAGGGACACGAAAGTCAAAGCCTCACAGGGGCCAGCAAACTTCGTCCGACAGGCGTATGAAATCCTAGAGAGCGACGCTTCGACTCCCCTTTCAGCTCCCGACTTATATCCATAGGCCCGTGACGACCAGAGTTGGAGAGCCTCATCGCACTCGTCAACCCGACACCACCCGTACCATACTCTGAGGCCGCTGCCTTGCAGCGACGACGCCCAGTGTCGGGCTGGCAATCAGGTTGCAAAATAATAATAATAATCATCATCATAATCATAATAACAATAATAACAATAATAATAATCTTATAATAACAATAATAGTAATAATAATAATACTAATAATAATAATAATCAATAAAAACGTCCAGAATCCAGGCAGCTCCACCCCGCCAACAACAGCAGATCCTTCTCGGCCCAGTATGTGAGGCCAGTCACGGCCTGCTTCTAAGAGCCACCATGAATGCATTGAGTGCATTGAATGCTAGTAATGCTAGTACTACAGTAGCGGTGCGTTTGCGCGCCATTATCTTACCGGGTGCTCCTTGGAATCGGCGGTGTCATTGCCAGCGAAAGCCAAGTGAACACCTGAAGAGGGAGCTTGCAGGCTCCTGTGTCCTACATGCACCGACGTCGTTACTTTAAACCTAAGCTTCGTAGCCCCCAAATCTTGTCGAGGAGCTGGTCTTGGAGACAAGATGCCACGGGAAGCCGGCAAGCGGCCCAGCCTTACAACTTGCACTCTGAAAACGGAGAAGGGAAGAGGGTCCGTGACAAGAGGCGCTAGGGCAGTTTGATGCTTTTTTGCAGCAGGCTGAGCAGCAGGCGGGCCAAAGCTAAGCCAAAGCTGAGCTGCGCGCAGAGAAGTGATGCAGCTGTTGACGTCCGGCCAGGAGCACAGAGTTGTTCTCAGTTGCAGCTGAGAGCTTCGCTGCAAGCCTTGCAGAAACCTGTGCAACTCAGTTTGAAGGCCCCGAACCACAGCTGCAGCGCCGTTGATCTCCATGCCAGGCAACGGCTGCCTCAACAGAAAATCTTGAACAATTCAGCTCTCTTGAGCAAGACATCTCCGGGAACCCGGCTCATCTTGCAAGATGGCAGAGTGATCTGCATCCCGCAGCCTGTGGCTCATGCCATGGCTGACTGTGCCCAAACAGGGTAGCCAAGATTTGGCATGCAAAAACTTCAGCCGATGATTTTTCCAAGGCTGAAGATGTCTCTCAAGTCTGCATCTTCTTCGAGGCACGCTGCGGATGTCCGGCTTGTGCATTCCTGTCTCGCGACCGGTGGACGAAAGGGGCTCACCTCCATAGAGACAGACGGACCTATGGGTGCGAACTCATAGGGGACCACAGAATTGTATACTTTGCCCGGATCCCGAAGCTGGACTTGCGGACGCCACCACTCCCCGTATCCGTCTGTTCTGGCACTTACTACCTTCACGGACTCAGGCTCGTCGGTATGATGGTTGAGATCTGCCGGTGCAATATCATCTACATCCACGAAGTTCTCGTAGCAGAGTCTTTCCTCACATGGCGAAAGCCCAATACCTAGGGCCTTCTTCACAGGCAACACGAGCTCACTGAGAACGTGACATATGAAACCATCGGGCAGCAGGCTCTCTTGAAAGCGCTCCACCAGCTTGCCATCTTGGAAGACGCCACTGTCCTGGGGCCGGAGAACTCCCTCCGGCGTGAATCGCAGCTGCAGACCATTTAGGCTGCCATCCTTGCATGTGATTATCCACCGCAGGTCGCCCCCACGTCCGTATTTCACATGATACCCGTCGGCTGGTCGCATGTTCGGACGAGTGAAATACTCCGAACCCAGCTCCGGAGGCCCTGGGACACTAACCAGTCGTCCATCGACTCTCTCTCTTACCTCCGGCAAGAGCTTGGCTTGACCAAGTGGCCAAATAGCTGCCAAGCCACCATCTGCATGGTACACGGCAACTCCCAGCCCGCAGGCAAACTTCATGACTGCGTTGGAATCCAGAGGAGTGAAACCACGGATCCGGTGTGGATAGTCTTCCTGGGTGGCAGTTGGGTGAGATGGTCAGAAGCAGGTTACTGCCTCTGAATAACTAACAAGAGAAAACAAGTGCGATCCAGGGATCTGTGTCCATGAGCCTCATCAGACTCTTGCTCCGGTAGGAAAGCCGTGGCCATTGCATCACTGCAAACTTAGCCAGACCACCCTCTACATTCTTTCTTGAGAAATGCCGCTACCTCTGTAACACCCAGGCAAGCACGTCACCAATTTCTAAAAGGCCTTACTTTCAACCGATATGGCATGGAGGCAGCACTTGCAGCTCAGAGCATGCTGTTCGTCATGCGACGACGTCTGGCGGTGAGCGTTGACAAACATCGAAAGGCTAAGGCCTCTGCCTAAAACGTGCCGCACGAAAGTCCGTGGTCAGTATGAGAGAATCCTCCTGACGAACCCACGGCACATGATAGCTCTTGGCAAGGAGAACGCAGGGGTAAGGAGAAGAAGGCTAAAAAGCCCTGAAACCAGAAAATCTCCAGTCACATGTTCCACTCATGTTCGCATCCTCCAAAGCCAGAATGGCCGTAGGATTGAAGAACCTATAGTCCATCACCAAGAGAAGTTCCCCAAACGCTCCATCGTGCTCTAAGACTGAGGTTCTGGCATCGGCCACTCGACGGACCTTGGTGAACAGACATGAGCTGCCACGTTACCCCTCACCACGCACCCTGAAACATTTTTCTCGTCACGGCCGGGCCACCATTCCACCAGGGAGCTGACCGGTGATGCCCGAAGTGGCCTGAGCGCGAGCTGCGGCGGCGGCGCATGGAGCTGCACAGCCGCGGCCAAAGACGTCAAAGAAATCACGACGGCCAGGAGAACCTCGAAAGGCAAGAGTTGTTTATAAAGGAGAGCTCTGGGCACATTGCCGACCAAGGAGAGAACCGCGCAATGGGTGGCCGCCATGACATAGGTCGGACTGGACAGGTCTTTGCCCGTTGTTCCGAGGCTGTGGTGCTTCTCCGGGTACGGGCGAATGAGGTTCGCAAACGCCGCAACCAGCAGCGGTGGCAAAAATATGCCAAGACGGGCATAAAAAGCCATGGCATGATCTGTATAGTGCTCGCACCGCATGTGCAGCCGGAAAACCACCAGGAAACCCAAGCACAGGATCGTGAAGAAACTGCCTCCGACCACGGTTCGATGAGCTTGATCTTCGTAGAGCTCCAACGCCTGGACCTCTGGCATGTTGCTCATCTCCTGGCAGAGGAAGGCTCGGGCCCCAAGAGGATTTTGGGCCAGTGATTTTGCCAAGTCTCCGTGACGTGTTTTGGAAGCCCGCGCGCTGCGAGGGAGGCCGAACCGCTCTTGGCTTGGTCTGACGTCTCGCGTCCCCTGGGCAGCTACGGCGGAAAAGAGCCAGGTCAAGTGCTTGAATCCGAGGCCAAGCCGCATGGAGCCCTGGGCGTGGAGCTCCATGGTCAAGTAGTCCAACTCAATCCGTGAAGGACTCGACTCGAGCTTCCCCGTTGGCTCTGAAATGCTATGCCAGTCGTTGTCCGAGTCTGACTCGACAGAAGAGGCTCCTCGCGAGACATGGATCTGGGGACCCCACGTGGAACAAGGAGGGGGACAGCCATTTCTCACTGCTCTCCCACGAGCTTCTTCCGAGCGCTCCTACTCTTGGAAGCTGGCTTGGCGAGAAGGCAAAAATCCGTGCCACCAGACCCCAGGCGGCTGAGACCGCAAGTCCGGCCATCTGTCGGGCACCACTCCCCGTGTGTGAATGAAGCTTCTCGTCCATGTGTTTGCGGCTTCGCTGCCACTTCTCCCCCACAATCTCGTAGAACGTCTCACCTGTGCTGACATCGCTCCGAAGATTCTAGGGCCTCAGGCTTGGAGCAAGCTCCCGGCATTGGTCTTGCTCCTCCTCGGCCTGGAAAAAGAGAGGGGATCTGGCAAAACCTAACGGCCGACCCCCAAAAGCACTCAGTACTCATCCCCCGACAAAGTCAGAAAGCAACCCTCGGCATATGCCAGTTCGCCTGCTGCGAGACAAGAATCTGCAGCTCACGCAGGTGACGGTGGCCTTAGCCCAACAAGGGCAGCTTGCCGGCACTTGGCTCTCTTGCTGGGCCACTTCTCTCATTCGAGCCTTGGGTCTTCTGTCGGATGCTGGGAGGCTCTGGTTCAGCTCACGGAAGCTTGGCAATGGCTGCCAGGCACTTTTCACTTCGCAGTGTAAAAGAGTTTATCGGACAGGTCTGCAGCAGAGCTCGCGGCAAAACTGGCTGCACAATGGAAGCTGGTCCTGCTCCTGCCCCCCGCTCTCCCTTCCTCCGTAGTCGCTTCGAGCACAGGACTTGGCTGGAAGGCTGCCACTTAAGTGGAGCGCAACACGGAATACAACGTGGAAAACTGGCAGAGAAAAACGGACAGCGTTGCCTCACCGACGCGGCTCACAGCTGCTCCGCCGTACTACGTCTGCTCAGAGACGAAAGGACTTCGCCGTCTAAGCAACACTCAAATGAGCTTGCCTCCGGCTTCCCTCTGCTGGCGTTCCTTCAACCGCATGCGCTTTGTCATCTCTCTGGAGCCCTTCAGGAACGTCATGAGGTCTTGGTAGTCCTTACACATGAGCTCTTTCGAGGCTTAGTCATCGAAACGCCATTTCTCAGTGCTTGGGGAACTTGGCAAAAGAGGAACGAAACTGTTCAAGCAAAGGATCCGCAGCCTGCTGGTCATTCACATCTAGCAGGAAGTAGCCATCAATCGCCTCAGGGTCCTCTGCGTTATCCTCCCAGACAGAGAAGGGTCGAGGCCACACTCTGACTATGACCGCCGGGTTCAGGGGCACGGGATCTTTGTCTTCATCAGGCTCAAACTGCTCCAAGTGAAAGATGGGTAGTAGCGTGTCCTCCATGCTCCGGAAGTTGCGCAGCATAACTCCTGCTGCAGCAACGCTATCCTGCAAAAGCTTCGCATTCAGGAGCACGACGGGAATGGTCTTGCCCGTCTCCTTCATGATCTCGAAGATTGCCAGGACAGCTGCCATTTCGGACTGATTGGGTGCAACAATCAGAAGCATTGATGATTCCAAGAACTCCTCGATCTTGGTCTTTTCTTCCATTTTCAACTCCATCTTTGGCAGGACAGGTGGTAAGTGATCGAGAGTCAGATTCTCTGGGAGTGGGTTCCATCGTGTGGAAACTAGCGACATTGCGCCGAAATCTGTGAACAGAACACGGACCCCCTTCCCCTGAGGTAGTCTCGGGGACATGGCCAGTGTCTTTGCAAACCTCTCTGCAAATTGCAAGACGTTGCCAAGCTCACCGGAGACCTGGTTGTCAATCGTGCCAGTGTTGAAGTACATGCTCTGGCGCATCTGGCGCTCAGCGGTCGCCCGCAAGAAGGCCGAGCAGGCCCAGTTCACGGCCTGGTCTAAGAAATCATTGTGGGGAATCCCCTGCTCCTAAACCCTAAACCCTAAACCCCTAAACCCTAAACTCTTTATACAATTTTGTTTCCAGTTCACGGCGCCTGGTCGAAGCTCTGCGGCACGGGGGACGAGGCGTCCACGGTCGCTTGCACCATCTCCTCAAAGTTTAGTTGTAATCCGAAAAAAAGTGCTTCTCTTTTTTTGCGAAAGAGGGTGCTTTTTGAAAAAGAGGGGTTTTAACAGAAACCCTCATCTCCTCCCTCATGGCCAGGGCCAGCTTCGCCTCTTCCGTCAAGCCTGCGCCGCTGCGCAACAGAGAGGGGGGCTTCCCCTGTTTTCTTTTTGGTGTTAGTATAGTCCTATATTGTTATTTTCGTATATTAGTCTATTATATTTAGTGGAGCTAGAAAGAAGGAGAGAGAACAGAGGGGAGAGAGAGAGAGAGACAGAGAGAGCGAGAGCTTTCCCCTTCCCGGATCCCGCCGGCAGTCTTCTTGGTGAATGGAGTGGCTCGACGCCGGACTGCCGCCGCCCCAACAGCAACTGCGGCCAAGGCTGCAGAAGGCAGATGCGCCTGCAGCGGTCTGACCTCCGCAAAAAAAACTGCTTCTTCAGGGAAGAAGAAACGTAGTAAGAAATGAGCTTATGAGTCTAAGGCCCTGGCCAGTGCAGGGGATGGCCGGGTTCCAGCCAAAACCTGCGACCTCGCCCAAACTCGGAAGCTCATGGAAGCTCCTCCTTTCGCTCGGAAGTCGTCCCCTTGGCAGAGCCTCACCGCGCTGCGGGCGCTCGGAGGCAGCGGAGCCAAGGCCACGGACTCCATCGGAACTCACCCGGTCCTATGTAAAAACAAACGGAGCCCTAGACAGTCTCTGAGATCTCACTTTAGGTGTTGAAGCTCATGATAATCCATCCCTTGCATGGTACTTGATCCACATGGAGCATGACAACAACAGGTTCACACCTGTCATGCAACATCATGCAACATCTGAGTGGCTGCATGTCAGCTATCATATTTCAGTGTTCGGCACCCTTCCAGCATCTTATGCTTAGTGCCAGGCCCACCGTCATCATTCCACGCCTAAGCCCGTGAGCGGGCTCAGTCCGTGTGCATCCGTATGCACAGGCTTGAGATGTGTGGCGCATTACCCCCACTCAGAAGTGACAGCGGTGATAAGTACTAAAGTCGAACGGCACTGCTGCCTTTGTTTATCATGCTCGCCGGTAGAAAAAGCACGAGGTGCGCAGGTGCCCGACAGGCTTGATTGGTCTGTTGCAGGACGGCGTCGGGTTGCAGAGAGTATATACCAGGTTTAATATGTCCTTCCCTCAAGTCCGACAATGCCATGATGTTGACACGGAACCTTCCGATTACCGTCAATGATGAGGTTTCATGATATTCAGCAGTGAGCTCCAGAATGCTGAAGCATGTCACTGAATGTATCAAAACTTGCAGAAGCTTGTCATTTCCAGATGTACGGCGAAAGTTTGGTGCAAGAATGATCGGGAGGGTCATGGGTCGGTGTGGACATTCATCCGAATTCAGCTGGCTCACTCACGTGTCTGCACTGCAGCACCAGTACGAAACAGTATCACACATGCCAAACTGTTTGGAGCAGCCGTTTCGTGATGAAAACCGTCCCCTGCAAATTGGCAGCTATGGCCGGCCCGTGCAAAGCACATAAACCTACTTGATTCACTCTGAGGTGCCGGCTGGTAAAGCACCGCGAAGGTCATGGACTGAAAGAGCAAGCAAATGCCCCAGGGCCTGAGTCAGATCAACGAGGTGCTCGACAGGCGCAGAAAAACACTCCATGCGGCCGTGCTAGGAGCTCGGCACAAGAAAAATAAACACGTCCACATATAGCTCAGACTGCATCTTCCTGCAGTGCAGAACACACGAGTCATCATGCCGCTTCCAAATGATGCGCTGCTTACAGCTGGCACAGTCCCTTGCTGAGGTAAGAATGGCACTGCGGAGGGAAACCCTCGACAAGCATGGCGGCGACGAAGCCGAAAAGTAGTGTGGACCTGCTTCAACACTGCGCACACATCGCATGCCGAGAAGGAGCCTCTAAAACAGACCGAGCTTGGCTGAGTGCACGGCTTGAGTGTCAAGTTTTGGGAGCTGTCGAGACGCTCCTTACGCTCAAAGGGCAGCATCTGCCACCACGGGTGTCTTGAGCAATCTACTTGAGCAATCTACACCAGAGGCCCAAAGAAATGCTTCACATACCATGAGGCCGTCAGCATGTCGCGCACATCTTCTCGAAAGGACTCAATGCGGCTGTGCCTGCACAAATGCAGTATCATGCAGTGGAAGACTTCCAGAACCAGCAGTATGAAGAAGCCAGTCACTTCTATTTTGGTGAACAGTCTTGTTTCTCCGAGTGCTGGAAGATATCCTAGTACATGCTATTACGCTATTACAGGAACGAGTCAATGGCATATGAAATATGCTGCTCTTGTCATCCATAAGCCCATGACGACGACGATATTGACCAGCTCTGATGACGACGACACAGGCGAAGCAGGCGCTGCCGACGGCTGCTGCTGAGCACGGCAACAACAACCAACAACCCACCTCTCGACGGACCTACCGAACAAGCCCAGACCGTCCGAAGAACATGACTTCACTCTGCCGCATGAGCATGTACCGCATGAACTACGGCGATGTGTCGGAAGTATTCGGAAGTACAATCAATGCTGCAACCCACGGCTCGGTCGACCCACCTCATCTGTACAACATGGTGGGTCTTCGCCACATTCTCGGAGCTTACCATCGGCCCCACCTGTCAGACATCAAACCCCAGAGAATGGGCATCATTGACCCATATTGACATCATTCCATAAGCATTGAGATTCGAAGCAAGCGACTGCAAGGACCACATCCAGGGCGACCTCATTAATGCCAGGGAGCGCAACGAACCCACCAAAAAAAACCTCTAATAGCATTGCCCTTTCGGTTTCCCCGTTCCTAGAGCCAAGCCACTCTGCCCAGTTCCATCAGCGACGCCATGGCTGCAAAGGGTCATACAGTCTTGCAAAATATATTTGTGAGTTCGACCTTCACCGCAAAAGGCCCCTAGAAGCAACTTGCACTCTTGCCGCCGATGCCGCAGAGGACAGCCGACGAAAGGCATGCTGAAGGGGATTCATGACTGGTTCGATTGGAATCCGCAATCAGCCACAGCTTTGAACACCAGGGTCGTAAGCAAGAAATGAACCGGCCAAAATGTTCGATTCCGCACAGGCTGCAACGGTGACCCGACCAAACGGAAGCCTCGGCAGCAAGCTCTGCTTCTGCAGCCGAGGGTGGTACAACCTCTCCTCGAATCACAGACAGAAGACGATCCAAGTGAAAAAGCATGAAAAAGCTCAGCAAGTCTCCCCAGCCTTCCTGGCCATTGAGCTCCACAGCGCCTGCGGCAGCAGACTGCCCCAACACTTCCCAACTGCCTCGTCGCCTCTGGCCCGGCTCCGGCCTGTGAGCCCTTTGATGACCACCTTGCTCCCCGCGGGAAAGCGCCGCACCACCGTCGGGTCCGTGGGCACTGCGGAGACGGCAGCGGAAGCGGCGGAGGCGGTGGAGGCGGCGGGAGCGCCGGAGGCCGCGGGCGTCTCGGGCGTCACATCAACCGGCGCAGCCTCTGCGGCCTCAGCGCCAAGGGATGAGACCAAGCCGACCAAGCCCCATACTCTGCACTTTGGGAGCCTCGACGGCCGGAACGGCGGGCTTGTGGTCCTCGCCAAAGATCTTCTTGTAATCCTTCCGGAGGTCCGTGCTGTATGCCTGCGCTGGGTGAGGGGAGGTGACCACACCTCTGATGAACACTTCAAGACACATCATGCGATGCATCCGCTGCAACGCTTACTTGCTTGATCGCCAGTCTCGTCTAAATCTGTGGCAGACTCAATTAAAGACTGGAGATCGGGGTTCACGCTCAGCACGCGCCCAGGTGTGCCGCCTTGAATCACGAGAAGCAGTCTCATTGTGCGGAGGAGCCCACGTTGTCGTTTAGGCATCTCTTGAAACAGCATGTCCCATCACTGCAAAAAGCCCGTGAACCAGAGTACTGACTTAAACACATTGGATAAGGCATTCTCGAAGTGGCATGAGCTCGGCTTCAGCTGCGTCAATTAAAAGCTGAGGTCCGTTCTCTTCGGCATCGAACGTGCAAGTCCGCACATCTCCTCCCGGTGAAGCACACTTGCTTGACATCGACTCATGATGACTCATGCCCCAGATTGTAGCAGCATGACATGACATGGAATCCGTTTGCTCCTCGGCATCTGAAGAGTTCACCTCCACAACCTAGGCACGGTACATGTCCAACCTATTGGGTCAGCAGTTTTCACAACTTGCCTCGTAGCCAATTTCGAATGGTTTTTCGGAGGCAACACCTCACGTAGCTGACGCAATGCCACCATCAAGCAGCGCTGCTTACAGAGCAACCAGCAAGCCAACCACCTTGGTGCAGCAAGGCTGCCCGAACCTCTTCGCCAAAGGTCTGTCCTGGCACTGCACACACTTGCTCAGTCTTCCAAGCCCGCGCCTCCGTCTACTGTTCCAAACAATCCAGCTGAGTGCGTTCGAAGTCACGTCAAAGAGCCCCAGGCAGAGTTTTGGATTGCACGACTGACTTGTCCCGAGACCTTGGGAGACGTGGCAGAGGCGAGACCGTCGTCAAAATGTTGTGCAACGTTGAGATCTTTTGGACCGTCGCATGACACTACTACTGTCCCGCGTCTTGCTGCACAAGTGAGCAGCACATCGCTTGTGCATGCCACTCGTTCTACCGAATGCACGGGCGAGACACGCCCCTTCAAAGCGCCTGTAAAGCGCGGGTAAACAAAGCCATCCAAGCGAGCATCGCACCGTTCCGAATGCCGTCAGAGCGGACAGGACCGGCCCGTTCCATCGACCATTCCTTGCTGGCAGCATAACTGGAACCACCACTGGAGCTGCAGTCGACATCCAGTAGGACCTCCAGAGGGCTCAGAATGCTGTCTCTTCGACACTAGTTCCTAAATGGCGGTACTGCACCTTTTGCTGCAGGCTCTCCTCACATGATACCTCGCTGTACAGCACTTGGTTCCACCTCCCCTAAAAACACCACAACATTTGTTTATCTAGACCCGGGGAATGTGACCTCCCTTGGGGAGCAGTACAACAAACACAAACCTCAAGTTTCGTGGTGCAAATGGTAGGGTTCAAAGTAGAGGCTTTCGAACTTCAACGAATCAGGACTTTGTAGCATTTTGTAACCACCATCGAACGTTGCAATCTCGAAACTTTCGACATGTCAATCATTCGAAATGTCAATCCGGAAACTTTCGAACTCTCAAACTTGAAACAAACGAACCTTGTAGAAGCAAGCGAACATTGTAACCTCGAAAACAGTCGAAACTTCAACTTTGCTTGAAGCTTTCAACTTTGGCAGCCTATCTAACTCGGCCGCACCGAAAGTTTGGAGATTGAGTGGGGAGAGATATTCGAGCTCGACAGCTTGACAGTCCGAACGTTTGGAATTTGAGAGGTCCGAAGTTTTATGCCCACTCACTTGGGCATGCCAACGCGCTCAATCTTTCGAACCCCAACACCTTTCAAGCCTTCAAGCCTTTCAAGTTTGAAGCTTCGGAACTTTCACACCTTGGACTGTCCACTTCGCTCGGGACATCATTCAGTTCGGATTTCAGAGATTGGGGTGTTGGGTTTCGGAGTTTAGATTTTACCGGTTTAAGATATGGGAAAACGGTTTAGAGCTTCGGGTTTCGGAGTTTAGGGCTCAGCTGGGCGAGTGTTTTGCTTCTTCTGCCTCTGGGAGGGGATATCATAGCCCTTTGAAACCTTCTTCACGGGTGGGAGATTCCCAAGGACACTCCACACCAAGGTTCGCCTCGAAGGCCAGTTTGGGGCGCAAGCTTCAGTGTAACCCTTCCCTGTATGACTTCCATTTATGGGACAACCTATGGTGAGTGCAGTTGTTCTGCAGCTGATGTCTTACTTTCCTGAGGTTGGGTAGTGGTTCCACCAGGCAGCTCGCCCCATTCACCAGCAAGACCTCATCGCCAACCTAGCACAGATTATCAGATTTCACTTTTCACGCAAAGTAGGACTTTCAAAGCCCTTGCGTCTGGAGGAATTGAAGAGCATTCTGTCTTGAGAAACCCAAGATTGATATCTTATCTGCTTGTCGCTAAAACTTTCGCTTTGGTCGGTGCCAGTCTGCCATTGTCCTACACGGTTCCCACAGCACTGGGTGACCTGCCAATTCTGCAACTGGCCAACTTATGCTTTCCTTGTGGCAACATCCTGAACGGAACTCATTGACTCTCCCTCCAACACGTTTGCGACAATGCACCTGCACCCTCACCTATTGGATCTTGGGATAAACGCACATCCTTGGAGAATAAATCACATGTACTTGGCTTAACCAGCCATGTGGAAACGTTCACATCGCAACTTCATGCTCTCGACTCTGCTCCATGGACACCGATCATTGGCAAGGTCGAGGCAGCAGCAGCTATGATTTCACTTGTGGGACAGTGTTACTACGAGATAAATCGCGATCGGCTTAAATGAAACTGGTATGTCACGAGTGCAAAAAACCAACAGGGACGGTGCCCTTCCAAGTAGTTCCAAACATGCCTCCGTCCTTTCCTGCTGTGGGAGCTTATACGGATCAAAGATCAACCTTCGTAGAAATGCCAGTGGTTTTTTGTTGACAACTCACCTTCTCCAGAAGCCTGAATTTGCGCATCATCTCAAACTGGACTACCAGTGGCCTCGGAACGCTACTGTAGCTCCTGTGAAGTTGAACCCCTCCTGCAAGCTTCGACTTGTCACCGAGAGTCGACCCACTTTTCCAGAAAGATTCTATCCGGGTCTGGTCTGGGTCAGCATTCACTGGCAAGCATGCAAGCAAGCAAAGAAGCACGCCCGCACGCAAAGCATTGTGCACACGGAACCCCCCACCTCCACCGGCTGTTGGCCCACTGATGCCGGGCCAAGGGTCTCTACAGCTTTACGCTGCAACATGCCCGCTAGCATCCGCAAGTCTGAATCCTGAATGCACTGGCTTGGCAGGCAGCTCTTGCCATCAACAACGGACTTGGCCACCATCTTGCGGCCATCTTCGACCACGTTGGTTTGCAGGATTCGGGCATGATTTTTGCAAAGCGCTCCACCCAAGCTGCTGCAAGCTTGAGTGGCGTTCTGGCCGAAACGATGGAGATCTCTTGCCTGGCCATGTCCCTGGCAGGGTCTCAATTTCGACATCCTGTGAATCAGCTCAAAACACAGCTCGATGAGCCCATCCTCGAGCATCGCCAGGAACTGCTTGCGGCAGGCCGGGCTCAGCTGGTTAAGGAACTCCTCCAGCTCCTCCTTCCGAGCAGTTCAGGCTGACCGGCAAAGGACCGCTCCCGCCACACCCTTTCCTTCCCCGACCCTTGCCGCAACTCTCTTCGCACCTTCGTGAGTTTGGCTGAGACCGGCGGCTGAAGCGAAGCTTCGATGTCGGCCGTGCGCAGCTGCCTCAGTCTCCAGGCTGTGCAGCAGCCGACTTCTTGCAGAGAGGTTGCAGAAAGACCGAGGGGCCTCGCGTCTTCCTTGGCCGCACGGCCTCGGAGCCGCTGCTCAGTACGAGTACGAAGAGAGCCCATGATCCCGGCTTTCCTCACCACCGGGACATGTCCTCCGTCCTCCCTCCTGTCGCAACGCCTGAGCTCGGAGCTTCCCAGGGTCGCGAAGCCCAGGTTCGAGGGCGCCTGAGCGCCTTCGCGAGGATGCACGCGGCCTCGGAGCTTCGCCAGCTCCTCGTCAGCGAGAGCTCAGGCTTTGCTTTAAGACATGGATGCGCCATCCTGGTTCTGCTCATGCAGCTTCTGTCTGTGAGCATTCACGACCTCTTCGGCATAAGGCTTTTGGGTTTAGCAGAACGTGTGCTCCACAATGCGATACACAACAGAGCCTCGCGGTCCATCGTCAGCACCTCTTCAGCCTCGGATCCATCACCTGACCGCCTCGCAGCTCAACGCGAAGAATTCCGGAAACACTGTGCCACGCGGCTGAATGCATCCTGGCTGCTTGGACTTGTGCAACGTATGCCGCTTGTGGCTGTGCTTGTGGCTGTGCTTGTGGACATGTGCGGAGGCAGGGATCGGGATGTTGAAAAAGAGCACGCAAAGCCACCTCATGTACGTATCAGCTATGCCAAACTCCAACATTCAATTCAAGCTGCACTGCCTTGGATGTGCTGAGACCACCACGCTGTAAGCTTCATTGCTGCGCTGTCTGCAGTGACAGCAACGCAGTTCGGTCGGGTCCGATCTTCAAGCCGAAAGGTTCGCGGCGAGAGAGCAGCTGATCTGCATAACATTACCGAACATCGACTCGAGCTTCGACTACCCGTAGTATGAAGCCGCACCTTCTGAAACATGGAGACTCGCCAAACGTCTAATGTGACGCCTGCCCTGTCCCAGTGTGCATTGCATGATCTACGAAGACATGGTAGAGCAGAAGCAGTCTGGGTGTCCAGGCCACTGCTGTCAGTGCTTGCTCAGAAAAGGACCCGAGAAGAGGCACGTCCTGCAAATGCAAAGCTCGGGGTGAAACCCACCGTCAGCTGATGGGTCTCCCGTGTCCTGCACATCCTTGGCAGATGGCAACAGCAATCGCAGCGCCTGCTCTCGCCTTCAGCCGAAGTACGAAGGAAGGTGCTCCAAACTTTGTGGATGGCTGCACCGCTGTCCGAGGGTGTCGCCAGTCCCCAGCCAGCGGCAGGTTTGCAATGTTGATCTGCAGTTCACTCATTTTGGCAGATCTGCCTAGCTGCACAGTGGATTTTCTGCTGAGGCTGCCGCCCAGTCCTCTGGTGCAGGCCAACGACCGTAAATTCGAATCACGAGACCACGGCCACGTGGTGGCTCCTGAAAGAAACGCAGCTCAGGTCGAGTTGCCGCCCAGCAAACACCGCCTTGCTGCGCAGCTGCGCCGCTTCGCGTGCAGCATTGGCAGCTTTTGTGGCTTCCTGCAGCTGATTACATCGTCGAATCTTGCCATGGAAAGCCTTCATCATGCTGCAGGCACCTCGCCCCATGCCTTCACAGCATCGAAAGCCTGAGGAGAAGCAGAGCTTGCCTTCCGTGCTCCCCTTGACATCACATCCTCATGACTAGATCTCATAAGTCGCACACGAAGTCCTTGACCACGGACTGCGCGGAGCTGAACCATCTGACGAAAAACAGCCACACTTGGGCTGCCAAAAGGCCAATTCTCTTACTTGCGACTGCTTGTCTCGTCCTGTCAGCCACCCACTTGAACTGCTCAGAGGTCGACGACCGCGGCGCCTCAAGAAATTCAGGGGACCACGACGGCAAATCAAGGAATCCATGTGCTGTCCGGCAGGCTCCAGTCCAGTCGCCAATGTTGGCCTCCAGTCTGTAGGCCTCTGCACAACACACATCGTATTCATCCAAGCAGGCACACAGCCGCACCGCCTGCCTGTGGCCCCCAGCGCTCCCAGAAGGCCAGGACTTCAACACGAAGCAACTCCTCGCACAAACGAAATGAGCTGTTCAGTTCTGCTCATTTCTGCCCGATGCTCCTCCCACGTCGGCTCCGATGCCCAACGATTCGCAAAGTTCGCGACTTGGTCGAAGCCCTCAGCAGCCTGAAAGCCGAGGCATCAACTCATGTGAAGTGTCTACGTTTGTGTACAATACCGTACCGTTGTGTGCGATGGCATTTCATCGGTTGCCGAATCAAACTTCAAACTTGCCTGCCTTGGAGAATTCGCCTCTTGCTAGATTCTCCAGCGCACCGTTGACAACACCGGTGAACGCCTGAAAGCGGCGCTTCCTCAGTGCAAAACACGTCAAGCTAAATTTCATCTCAGGTGTGCCACGGTCCAGTCGCTCCGGCCCTTAATTCGCAACACATCAAGATAGCAAACAGAACGCCGTGCTCGCTTCGCCTTTGCACCAATTGTGACTGAGTGTCTGGATCTTTCGTATCCTCTCGGCTCTAGTTTCTTCTCTACTCCGCCTCCACTCAGTGACAACACGGAGGAACTGCCGCGAGAGAATGGCCACGAGGAAGGACGACCCCAGGATGACGACGATGGGAACTAAGGACTGCTCGACGAACTGCGGCAGCTCCTTTTCGCCAAAACAAATCCCACCTAAACGTTCTCCCGCCAATCTCGGGTACTGGGTCAAAGGTAGTGCAGATCTATAACAATCCTCAGCGAGAAGGTGGCTTTGTAAGAAATACAATTCCTTACCATTGATCTCCGATTCAGGGCAAAGCATTTCCACGGAGATGACTTTCAATCGGCTTGGTTGGGAGGGCAGGGCCCCTTGAAGGGGGGGGGGTTCCGCAAAGCTCTCTGTCTCTAACACTACTATATCATTCATAATACACATATAATATATATATATATAATGTATATAATATACAACATGTACTATGGTCAGTTTATACGTTTGATATAATATGTCATCTTCTGTCCTCTGGTAGCAATCCGTTGTTCGGACGCTCAGGAGTCGGCATCGGCTCATCTGCCAATTGCCGCAGCATCCTTGAGCTGAAAAGGAGCTGGGACAAAAGGGCGTATCAGGCCCATCATAGGGCTTAGAGCGTCGATTTCGGGGGTCGTTTTGGGTTTTGGGTTCAGTTCTGCTGGCTCAGGATCTCTGGCTTCTGCTGCATCTTCCCCCATACTTCAGCATCCTTGTTGCCCAAAATTTCGAGCTGGTCCTTCAGAGCTCAATGGGTGTGTCGCCGGGTTGCCTTTGTAGATATGCTTGTGGCAGCAGGTTGGAAGCTTTTGGAAACAGACCTTCCGTCCTCAATTCCTGCTTGCAGATCGCGGATCAGCCCTGACAGCACGACCTTATTCAGGCTGAGGGGCATCAAGGAAAACACTTTCACCGGCAAGCCTCCGCCTCGAGGTACGAAGGCTAATCTATTCGGATTGCTGCTGCTGTAAGCTATTACCAGTCTGCCGCAGGGCTCGAGGATGCACGACGCATTCCATACACCAAGGCTGCGGCATCATCGTCGCGGGGAAGCCCCTCATCTGTTGGCTTCATTAGCCTTTCGGCACCGTTGCGCAGGGACTCCATTTTGGAGCCAAGGCTTTGCAGGATTGTTCCCAGAGCATTGTTGGACTCCGAAACCTGCAAGCAATCAGAAGTAATCCGAGTTTCGAACATGCTTTTTGCTGCAAGCAGTCGAAAAGCTGCGCCCAGGCCGCCAGGGAACGTACCTTTCCTCTTGCAGCTGACTTGCCAACAGGTCGGCATAGGTCGTCGAGTCGATCTTCAGGCTCTGAGGCTCCACATCCAAAGCCTCCTCCTGCGGGCCCTGGTTCACCAGCCCAGCTTTGCGTAGGAACAAGGCCCAGCAAAGCAGGATGAAATTCAACGACCAGCCCAAGGCACCCGTCCACCGCCAGAACTGGCGCCTTGCAAGGCATTGCAAACTATTGCAACTCTGATCTGGTGGAAGATGTACAAACTACAAACTACAAGGACCTTGCGGTAGCCTGTCGCATCCTGTCGCGATTGATCAACCTGCAATCAAGATTCTCCCGCGTGAAGACGTCTGTTTTTGGAGGCAGCTTCTCCGCGGTATCCTCGTCAAGAACTTCCGGCACCAGCTCTTCCAGTACTTCGCTTTCGTTCACATCTGCCTTTACTATGGGACGCAGATGTCAATGCAGGCTTTGATGAGTCACGACATGTCGCATCCACGCGCCTGCAGGTAGGGTGGCGGCGGCGGCCAGGCTGCCCGGTCGTAGAGATCCGAAAGCACTTCTGGCTCTTCGCTCTGCTCTGCTCTGTCGACCGGCTTCCGAAGAAAACGCTTGAAGCCTCGCAGACTGAAGCTCGGATCTTGGGGAGTCTCTTCTCTTTGATGGCGCTTCACGATGGCAGTGGTGCACACTCAAGAAGACTTCTTGAGCACTAACTTGAGGAGTTGGTTCACTGTCGCGCTGGGGGGTTGCTTTTGATCGCTCCGGCCGTGACACATGAACTGTTGACGGAGCCAACTTCGTGCCAACGGCGTCAGTAAAATTACCGCAGGGGAGGTCCAACGTGGTGCTTCTCCGTTTCTCACACTTCCGCCCCATACATTGCTGGAGTATCCTATCCTGCAACGGAGTTCTGTCAACAAAAGCCCGCAGACCAATGCCAACCCAACCAACAGGAGTATTGCAATGCACCCGAGAAGTGGACGAAGAAGCATGCAATGCCTCGGAAGCAGATCGAGCTCAGGACAATTGCTCTCGGTGGCCGAGCAACCACCAGATGGTCAAGAAATGTCAAGAAGCTAAGCGCTCTCACAAACAGCTTGTAACAAAGCTTGACCACCAGCTGCAGCCCCTACAAATTGTCCTGCTTGGAGCTGTGAAACCCCGGAAGAAGTGCCCCGGCAAAAGAAGAAGGGACAACCGGTTCTAGTGACAACCCCTAATTTAACCTGACAAGTGGCACGGCATGATTTGCGAGAGCAGTCGACATCGAAAGCACTAGCAGCAGTCTCTTGGCACATGGCTGTACTTGCGAGGACACAGACACGCCAGGCCAACCCCCCCTGATCGTGAGTCCTTTGCTATGGCTAGTTACCGATCGTCGCGTAACTCTGGCAGCAGCGGTACCGGTCAGCCAACGACACGGGAACTAAATGCTGGCAACAGTAGCGTCAAGAATGATAACTGTCACAACAACCACCTTCATCTTAGTACTGGTAACAATGGTGGCAACCACAGAAGTACCTGCAGCTGCCACAATCCTACAAAAGACCATCGTTGCACTACTGGCAGGCATGATGATGATGACAAGATAGCGCGAAACACATCAGTCCACAACAGCAATAGCAAGCAAAATGTCGTGATTAGCAGTCCTTGTTCAACTGAAACACAGAACGAGTAAACGTGATACCCACAAGCAACACCGTGGATACTGAGAGAAAACACCAAACTTGTGCTACAGAAGATGCGACAACGGCACTGGTGGTGACAACAACGAAATCCACCCAAATAAAGTTGCAAGTGCTACGCTGCTAATTACTCGGAAGCTAACAGCTTCCAAGCCAAAATCCAAAGAGGGCAAGAAGCCAGAAGCCACGGAAAGCGAAGTTCAAAAGACGACGGAAGAATTCAAGAGGCGAGAAAACCATATAAGCCAACCGAAAAGCCGAATCCAGCTTGCATTCTGCTCACGTATCATGCAGTAATACAGACGGAAACAACGATCCACATTCTCATGGGCAGACACGCCGTGCTACTCCTAGCAACGATGTGATTGTGGATCGGTGCGGGGTGCAGATGTGAGAAAGAACATTTGAACTGGGGATTGGAGAGGGGTGCTGTACATTTCTGCAATATCCAAACACCTCCGGCAGACAGCTGTGTCAGAGAGAGAGAGAGAGAGAGTGGGGGGAGCGAGGGGAGCGAGCGCTCTGCCTTGCCGTAGCCCATGGCGGACCACAGTCCGTTGAGAACAAACTCCTCCTGTCGACCGTCGCACCCCTTTCATGTGCAGGCGGCTCTCTCAACACCGTGTGGTCAGAACACGGCTAGCCTGGACGGTCTCTGATGCCATACCCGCTGGGGCGAGATGACCTGAGGCACAAAGGTCGTGCCCGCTTTGATTGTAGTCTTGTGTCCTGTTATGTCAAATGGAAGCTACACTCAGCATCCATCTCCAACTAAAGGTGTTTTTGGGGTTTGTTTTTGTAATCATCGGGACACAAAAAGATCTGAAGTGCACCGCGCTCACTTTTGATTTTCTTCGGCCTGCGACTTCGCGATGTGAGGCCCATTGATTCGTTGGTCTGCAGGGCCGCGCACTGTCTGTGCAGAGTGAGCTGAGAGCTCAGCTGTACGAGTGAAGCCCTGCCATCCCGTGGACACCTCCAAAGTATTCCCCCAATGAAGCAATGCAGCAGGCAGCGCGAGCAGGTCGATGTCGGAAAACTCATGCCAAGGCACGCAGGCATGCTTCTGAAGAGCCCAGGATTGGGCGACTGTCCAGAGATCAGCAAGTCCCAGGCGGCTCAGGCCGTCACTGCGGTTGTCGTCGCTAGGTACCCACTCGACCCAGATCTTGCAGCCCAATTCCGCCCAGAGCAAGTGACATGTCGCAAATATGCGTCATGCGTACTGAGTCAGGCTCAGTGCGAGCACTGGCAATCCCAGTGCAAACCGCCTGGTTGTCGCAGAAGAGAATGATGTCCCTATTGCAAACATGGTGCCTCACGGTTGTGAGGAAGCACTGGAGAATAGCCAGCGTTTCGAGCGGCATGATTTGGGTCTTGCGCTCTCGAAAACTGGTGGGGACTGTCTCCGAGACTGAAGCAGCACCGCCCCGCACAGGCGGGTCATCAGGCAGACCGACGATATATCCCAGGCCTTTCTGTGTCATGTGCTTGGGTTCCCAGCTGGGAGTGTTGACACCCGGCGGAATCGAGCGCGGGCGGACTGCTTGAAGCAGGGCCTTGAACAAAACCAGAGCCACGCGGAGGTCGCTACCAAGCTCGGCGGAGTCGTCAGAGTACTGGCACTGGATCAAAGCGGCTTGGCCAGCTCGCCCACACTTCCCAAACATTGCACAAGCCGCCCACGTCAAGCGACCTCTGAGCTTGGCGGCTTCAGCAGCTGTGCAGGTCTCGATCAAGGATGTCCTGAATGTCCTTGGAGAGTACTTCATGCAAGCCTGGTTTGAGGTTGACCCGGAGCTCAACCTCATCCAGGACGGACGAGAGATCCAGCAAAACTCCCAGGAACTGGCGTTGCGGCGTTGCGTAACCACAGGGCCTCCAGCAGCAATCCGAGGAGCGTGTCAGCCTCGCGCAACCAATTCATCCCGGAACCGCGGGCGCAGATGAAACCCATGACGCCGCAGTCGTCAAAGTAGTTCACCGCGCACAGCTCCCATGCGTCTGGTGATCGTCGTCATGATGCCGGAACACGGTTGAAGTTGAGCACCGCCACGCTGAGGCCCAAAGGGTGAGCAAGCAGCAACGCGTACCTCACGTCCGCAGCATCCTGATCCCAGTACGCGACAAGCAGTGCAGGCTTGTCGGCTTCACAGTTTGGCAGTTGGCGATAAGCCGCCTTCATGTCTTCAGTGCCAAAGCGTGGCTCCGCCCAGGGCGGGAGCGGCCCATCCGCAGACTCCTGAAGAGTAAGAAGGCGGATGCACTCTTTGCAAGCAGCTGCCACGAAGTCGGGAGACGAAGTATAGATCGTCTCCTCAGAGAAACAGCTCTTGTTGTGCCCGCTGAAGCGGCCATCATCGATGGGCCGAGGCTTGCCACCTGGTCGACCATGAACCTGCGACATTGGGATCCAGCGTCCCTCACCGAAGCGGGCATCCAAGTCAGCCTTGGACCATGGTCTTTGTTTGCAATGCCAAGGGCAATCTCGGACAACGTGAAATCCTTGGCTTCCTTAGCGAAGGAAACTTGGGAAGGGTGCGCTCAATCTGACTGATAACCTTAAGGGGACTTACTTGACCCTCGTGAACCCGCGTGATATGGACATACACGTAGAGCAGCCGGGGCAAAGGACCTAGACTTGGGCCTGGCGCCCGCCGGAGGCGGTAACACCTCTGAAGGCTTGGCCACTGGCGAAGCCCAAGCAATCACAGGCTGAGGGCGTCTGTCCCCACCAGCCTGAAACTGGATCCTGGCAACACTCCAAGGTGGCGTGACCCTCTCGATGTGCAATGGGCCAGTGCTCACCTCGAGCACTTCTCGGGCCTCCGAAAACATGAATGCCAGATCTCGGTCCCATTCTAGCCCTTGCTCATGCAGCAACCTTTCTGCTTCCGGTCCCAAAGCTTCCCGAATGACAGCCGAGAATACCATGGCAAGGCATGAATAAATCGACTCGGGAAGAAAGAAAGAACTCGAGCAGAATGGTCCGCATCTGTTCAAAAGGCTAGACGATTAAATCTCACATGACCCTGTCCAACCAGCCATACATGTAAACTTGATTGGGCCTGGAAATGCTTGGAGCCAGGGTCAGGAAGCTTCCTCTCAGAAAACCCCACACCCCGCGGAAATTGATAGCGTCATGTCGTGCCTCGCTGAGATGCTGGAGACAAGACCCCATGCAGCAGTGCACCGCGGGTGGATCTGCAAATCACAGATGTACTACACCCTGGCCTGGAATTTAGTGATCGAAACTCCGAGAAGCCCGCACGCACGAAAATTGGAATGCAACGCGTCGCTCGCACATCCGACGGATAGATCCATCGTGTCTCTGTCTGGCGGTCTTTGCATGTGGCGGTCTCTGTCTGCCTCTGTGTGTTCCAGTCTCATGCTCTCCGTCTTGAATGCTTCCTTCCTACAGAACAGGGATGACAATGAAACTGGGGAATTCGAGTACCTGACATGTTCACGACAAAGCTGGGACCCTGGAAGGGGGCACCTGTAACGGGAACCTTTACTCACCAGCGGAGGGCTGAAAAGCTGTCGCCGCCGAGGGGGCAGAGCAAGCAAACCCGAAGTAAGTCGAAGCCCGAAAACTCTAACAGCACTAAAAATAACCACAATAACAATAACAACAACAATCTGTGCGAAATTTGATGAGGGTATCTGCGTGCATACATAGCACCGTGGCATCAGGAACGAAAGCTGCGGCACCATCCCAGCGACCTTCCCCTGCCATTGGGACACGGGAAGACGCAAGCACATAAAGTGACCGTGAAGGAACAAGGAGACATGCTAACCAGTGACTGTCCTGCAAGGCCAGCATGATCAACGCTGCAACCTGAGACCGCCAGCTGCGGGAGGACTCCAACAAGGAGGCTTTAAGTTCAGTTTGGACCCTGGAGACTCCAGAGGAAACTCAAATGAGTACAAGTCGCAAGAACGCGCCGTGTGCACCTGCGTGGGGAGGTGCGGCGACGGTGGTAGCGCAGTGAATCGGCCGACATCACGCCAAGGATGCCAAGCCATCGCTGTGTCAATGCTGCAACTCATCCAAGTGTCTCTCGCAGAGCCAGCATGGGTTACCAGTATGTTGGCTGTGAGACATGTGCTGAGAAACTGACGCCGGTTCATATGTGCTGAAGGCAGCCGAAGTGGCTGCAAAAATCGTGCACGGCTCTGTAGTGCAAACCACAGCTAGCAGCTAGGATACAGAGTCCAGCAGCACAAAGGCAGGGGGAGGTTACCCGTCGTAGGCCACCCTCCAAGTAGAGTCTGCGGTAGTCTGAAAAAGGCATGCCTCACGAACAGACCAAGGCAAACATGTATGGCGACGGGCTCAGGTCCTCAAGCCTAGCAACCTGCAGTCGGCACAGTGCCATACGCGGGCCTTTTTCTGGAGCCTTCACGTCAGGATTCACGGCGATGAGCAGTTGCTGGCAAGGAGGCGTGAAGAAGCCGAAGTCTGCTCATAGCGGGGCCAAAGCCGGAAAAGCCTACGTGCTGGCCTTGAGCTGGTCGCTGTTGTACATGGCCTCTCCACCTTCGGTGCTGACCTGGAGCTCGTTGAACTCCTGCCACAGAACATGCGAGATCTGAGACAGGCTGCTCTGCCAGGACAGCAAGAAGAGTCTCTTGGCTCCACGCTTTCAAGTTGAGGATGCCATCTTTGTCGGTGTCGAACTTCTCGAAGATCTGACCAAGAATGGCTCTCCAAACCTACTACAGCATGCGGCCCCCGCACGGCTTGCGAGTCTCTTAAGGGGTCTAGCAGAATGGACTCTTTTTTGCATCGCTGTTCTCCTTAAAGATGCACCTTTATATCCTTAGAGCCGGGTGAGGGTCACTCAGTGCACTTCGCCCTGTT